TTATAGATGAATAAGATTGTGTGGGATGTTCTGTATGATACACACACACACACACACACACACACACATACACAATCAACAAATTAAAAAGACATACTTGAAGAGGAAGCATAAAAATGTACTTCATGTTAAATAGTGGAGGTGATAAACGTTACTAATGAAATCTACCTGATGACTTTATATCCATACCCAGGTATTAAGGACCTGAGTGTAACTGGCTTTGACTAGTAATAATCAGATACATAGAGATTAAAGACACATGTGAAAACATCTAAGTGTTAATTGAATTAAAAATGAATTTTTCTGTATGAAAATGTGTATTTTAATAATGAAATGGAGATCATTTTTAGAGGTTAAAACCTTACTCAATTTTATGTCTTATAGAGTTTGTACTGCGTACAATATTGTATAACTCTATTAATTCAACTGTAAGCCTAAAAATTACAGCCAATTTTGAAAGAGGTGCATCTTAGCTCTGGAAATTGTTATTGAATATGTCAATGCTGTTGTAATGACATGCTTCTTCTAATTATGTGATTATTAAATAAAGAATTAAAAAATGCAAGAACCTCTAACAATTGCTACAGATGACACAATAGAAGATCTAGATGACCTTGGACTTGGCAGTAGTTTTTTAGATATGAGACTAAATGCACAATCCTTAAAACTGATAACCTAGAATGAAAGTAAAAATGTGCTGTGTAGCTTTCTGGCGGTGATGACCTCCCTACGAGAACATGCCTCTCACAACTGATCTCCTTCATCCCTCTCCAGAAGAGAAGAGGAAAGAAGAAGTGCCTGGTGTAGAGCCCCAATTCCTACTTCATAGATGTGAAATGCCCAGGATACTATAAAATCACATGGTCTTTAGCCATGAACAAATGGTAGTTTTGTGTGTTGGTTGCTCCAGTGTCCTCTGTCAGCCCTCAGGTGGAAAAGCATGGCTTACAGAAGGATGTTCCTTCAGGGGGAAGCAGCACTAAAAGTACCCTGCATCAAGATGAGTGAGAAACCATTCCAATAAACACATTTTGGATAAAAAAAAGTTCTACTGTGTAAAAGATAAAGTCAAGTGAATGAGAGAACAAGCTGCAAATTGGCAGAAACTATTGACATATAAACACACATATACATACATGTATATAAGGAATGATTGTTGTCCAAAATACAAAAAAAAACCCTCTTAAAATTCAACAATAAAAAGTTAATGATCCAATTTTAAAATGGACAAAAGATATGAATAAATACCTCATCACAAGTTATATGAATGGAAAATAATCATGTGACTGATGTTCAACATAATATAGATCAATAGAGAATTCCAAGTGTAAATCACAGTGAGGTATCACTACACATTTATCAGAATAGTAAAACTCCAAAACACTGATAGTGGCAAATATTGGCAAATATGTGGAAGAACAGGAACTCTCATTACTGGTGGAAATGTAAAATGATACAGCAGTCATCTTATGGAAAAAGTAAACACTTGTGCTCGCTTCGGCAGCACATATACTAAAATGGAAACCATATAGAGAAGATTAGCATGGCCCCCGCACAAGTTTGACATGCAAATTCATGTAGCGTTCCATATTTTTCAAGCAGACAAAAGCCCAGCATAGAACTGGGTCTGGGGAAACAGACAACAGACCCCAATATTAACTGAAGAAATATTGGCAGCTGATTAAAAAAAAAGTAAACTTACTCATACCATATGATCCAGCAATCTCAATTTTTGTATTCATTCAAGCAAGCTGAAAACTGTTCACACAAAAACTTGCACAAAGATATTTTTTATGGTGGCTTTATTCCTAATTGTCAAAACCTGGCTGTAACCAGGATGTCTGCAATGGTTAATTTTTATTGCCAATGTGACTGGATGAAGAGATACCTGGGAGGTTAGGAAATCATAACTTAACATTGTGTCTCTGGTCTGATCTCAGCAGACTGCCAGAGTACAGAGTTCTGGCCTCCCTCCGGCCTCCCTCTGGCAGAGGGCCTGAGAACACAGGGGACTGCCTGAGACCCCCCCAGGTCCTGCCTCCACATAGGGTGAGCTTCCCCTGATTGTACCATACCCATCCCCCTACCTGGGATTTAGTGAGGCCCCTCTCAAGGGCCCAGGGTAGATCTGGCTTTGGTAGGTTAAGGCTGAGATCCTAGCAGACAGACTGAGAGGGTGGGTTCAGACCTCCATAAGTGTGGTGGCTCTGATCTCAGCAGACCTCCAGAGAGTACTAAGTTCTGGCCTCCCTTGGGCCTCCCTCAAGCAGAGGGCTTGAGCACACAGGTGACTGCCTGAGAACCCCCAGGTCCTCACTCCACGTGGTGGTGAGCTTCTCCTAGTTGCGCCATACCCATCCCCCTACCAAGGATTTTGTGAGGCCACAAAACAAACCTTAACAAATACAAAACAATTGAAATAATTCCATACATTCTATCAGACCACAATGCAATAAAGCTCAAAATCAACACTAGACAAAGCTCTAGTCACTACACAAACTCGTGGTAATTGAACTACACACTCCTAAACAATGAGTGGGTCAAAGAAGAAATTAAGAAAAAAATAAAAGTATTCTTGGAATTCAATGAAAAGGACAATACAACACAACACAACCTCTGGGACATGTTAAAAGCAGTCCTAAGAGGGAAGTTTATAGCTCTAAGTGCATACATTAAAAAATTAGAAAGAGCCCAAATAAATGACCCAACACTGCAACTCAAGAAATTGGAAAGGCAAGAAAAAATGAAACTCAAACACAGAAGAAGAGAAAAAATAACACAAATCAGAGCAGAAATTAATGAAATAGAAACAAAGAAAACAATATAAAGAATCAATAAATCTAAGAGATTTTCTTTGAAAAGCTAAACAAGATAGACAGACCCTTAGCCCAGTTAACCAAAAGAAAGAAAGAGCAAATCCAAATTAACAAAATCAGAGATGAAAGGGAAACATCACAATAGATAACCAAAGGATCCAGACTGTTATAAGCAAATATTTTAAAAACTTATATGCTACTAAATCTGAAAATCTAAAAGAAATGCATGGATATCTGAAATCATAGGAACCTACCATATAACCCAGTTATACCACTCTTTGGCATATACACAAAGGACTCATCCTATTGTAGAGACACTTTTACAACTGTTTGTTGCTGCTCTTTTCACAATAGCTAAGAGATGGAAGCAAACTAAGTGCCCCTCAACTGACAAATGGTTAACAAAAATGTGGTATATTTATACAATGGAGTTCTATTCATCAGTAAAGGAAGACGAAAAAGAGATTTGCAGGTAAATGGATGGATCCAGAAACTGTTATACTAAGTGAAGTAACACAGACTCAGAAAAACAAAGGACATATGTTCTTCATCATATGTGGATTCTAGCACCAAATCCTTTTAAATTCCAGGTCCTTCTAGTAAGATGATGCTATACAGCAGTCCCTTCTTCATGAAATAACTACCATCATCAGGACTTCAGCTGAGCCTGATCGCTAAATGTTGTCACAATTGGACTTGTTGACGGTTGTGCTCATTCATTAAAGGAGGGCCAAGCAGGGTCATTGGCCCCCTACCAGAGTATCCAGCCACTCTTCCTAGTCAACTGTATTTAATTTGGCCCTAATCACACATGGCCTCCTGGATTTGGAGAGGGCTAAAGTATACAATTTGGGGAAAGTTAGGAAGAGAAGGCATGACCTATGCTGGGAAAAGACTTTCCAGTGTGCATACCCTCAGGTCATACATACACCTCAGCAACTCCTCAGTTATCTTGATAAGTAAGCTCAACAAACTCATTGGTTCCCCAGTAAAACTTCACTCAAACATTGGCTTGACACTAGAACCTTAAAAGGAAAAAGCATTGCTTAGCATCCCCAGGAAAAGAAGTATCACAACAGATGGAAAATTTATTTGTTAATGCTATTATATCATAATTATTTTTTAAAAGAGAAAATAAGAATGTAAAAGGTGTTAAAAAGATATGGGAATGGAGATATTTTCTAAAATAGAAAAAATGAGAAAGCCTAAGCAAGTGATGAAGGTCTGTTTAGGTTTGTTATGATATATAAAGGATGTGACAAAAATAATATACACATAATCGTAAAATTTCTATGGTCCCCTCTGTTTCTCTGGGCCTGCACCACTTGCCCCAGGCCTCTCTCCCACCTGCAGGCCTCTCTCCAGGGTAAGTCCATTGCGCCCTCTGTGCCTTGACTCCCCCAGCCCCATTCACCCTCCCATCTCCCCCGTCTTTCTCTCCTCTGGTTTGGACCCTGTCCCATTCCTTGTCTTGGGGTCCCAGACACCTGGGGAACCAATAATGCTTCCTGATCCTTTTCATCCAGATCAACGTAGTGCCTTCTCTGGGCCCCAGGAGCACTGCTTCTGGACCTGGCCCTGCCCTAACTTCCCTCTGCTTCCCTGGGCCTGTACCACATGCCAGCCTCTTTCTGGGATGCAGGAGCTGACCTTTCATCTTCCTGGTCCTTTGCATCCAGACCAACCCAGCTCCTCAGTGCAGTCCCCAGGAGTCCTTGGGGCCTCTTCCCGCCCCATCTGCCTTTGCATCTCTGGGTCACATGGCCACCAGCTGCCCTAGACCAGCATCTTTTCTGTGGCAGGCTCTCAGGCCAGTTCACCCCCAAATTCCTGAGGCCAAAATCATTCCTGGAGGGATCCAGACATGAGGAGAAAGCCTGAAATCATCTGACCCTCATCTGAATTGGGCCTCTGTGGGAACTCCTGAAGACAAAAGCAATCTGGTCATTCCAATATAAAATCAAAAGGGAGAACCGGAAACCTAACATCTTTTCTGTGGCAGGCTCTCAGGCCAGTTCACCCCCAAATTCCTGAGGCCAAAATCATTCCTGGAGGGATCCAGACATGAGGAGAAAGCCTGAAATCATCTGACCCTCATCTGAATTGGGCCTCTGTGGGAACTCCTGAAGACAAAAGCAATCTGGTCATTCCAATATAAAATCAAAAGGGAGAACCGGAAACCTAAACGAACCAGCTTTTCATGCCCAAAGAGTAAATCACAAAGGCACATAAAGTTTACCAAAAGAAGCAGACCTAAACTTGAAGGCTTGAGTCTCACACAAGAATCAGAAACTACAAAAGAAATTCACATG